GTGAAAGTAGATCATAATGCGGCCATCTTACTCAAATGAAATAGTTCTACATGACGTGTTGTATAGTTTTCTGGCTGATAGTCACAAGCTTCTGATACAGAAAATGCCGAACCTCATCTGACACCGGCTGATCTCCTTTAATGAATGTATGTAAAGGCAGATGTGAAAGCGGCGACAGTGAATGATCCTTTTCTTCGTCTAATTTACCAGAGGATTTCCCTCGAACGTAAGGTTTCTGTTTTTCAAAATTGGGCATTGACGTATATTTGTTTCAACTGGCTTGAAAATTTTATCCATTTTATAGCATACATACTTTTGTAGAGATTATTTTCTTGCGCGCTTGACTGAAAATAGTAGATTAAAAAAGGAGTTTTATTTAAATACCACTGAAATCAGTCTCAAAGCCGCAGTGTTTATTATAACACTAAGTAAGAGATCTGCCATTACCAAATTTCACAAGGAAGTGCGAGCTAGTTTAGCAGATAATGCAACTTTAAAGATTTGACGTTCTTTATGTAGTATATTTTAAATATATATCTACGCAGCAACCTTCGCGTGTGTGCAGTTTAAGTCATGTATACTGTTACCGTTTTGACATCTTTGTGAGGAGCGCAGTTTTTGCAGTTTTGTTTGACTCAGTAACTTTAGTAATCTTTGTTAACTAAGGTGACGGTGTAACAAATATCAGGCAGAATTGATGCACTGAGAAACGTTGTTACTTTGTAATTTAACCATTGTCCGAGCTAGAATGTCTGTGTTAGTTGAAGTCGTAATGAAAGATGAAGAACAAGGACTGCGAGACACCAGTTTTGGAAAAGCAAATGCTTTTTCTAACATTTACACAGTGACAGGAGCTAGAATTTAGTACAAAATGCATCAGTTGCTCCCCGGGAACATCCAGTTAAAATCTTGCACATCATCGACGCTTTTTTCAAGTGCAGTTAATAAATGAAGTTTTCAACACTTACGCAACACTTGCTTTTGTTAAGGTGAATTAAAGGGAGTCAAGGGTAATTGCATATAATCATTTGCTAAAGATATTATACATGCGTGAAATTCTTTGTTTTCAACAAAAAGTTATTGTGCATGATATGCGATTGAAGTCCAATGTTATATTATACATTTTCGCACCTGTTATTTTCTCGCCATTCGCAGTTATGTTGTTACAATTTGCTTCCAGAAAACACAACATCTGCATACCTGTAATCGGAAAATGAAATTTAAAAGCACAGCTTTGATCTCAAGAACCAAAGTGTTCTTGTGTTCATAGACTTATAGATAGATAGATATATAGGTAGTACAATATTCAATGTAATAGATTCTTGCTGATGCTCCTAACTTAAGCCCGACTCAGAACCTTTTCTACTAAAAAGAATTAACCAAAAAAGGCCCGTCGGGTTGTTTAAGGAAGATATGAATCTACTCGTTTGTTTTCCTGCACTCGTTGCTATAAAAATCACAAGCGCAAACTTCACATTTTATGTATTCGCGCAAGCTAACAAACCAATTTGCTTTTTGAAAAATTGCTCTATCAAAAGTTAGAAACAATTACATAAAGGAGATACCTTTAAAAAATGCTTTGTTCACTTTGTATGGCTACTCCCCGCAAGATATCTGATCGTTATGAGCATACCCAGGTTTCTTGTTTTCATTTGTGTAAAAAGGCAGACCTAATTTGCGCAAGAATCTTTAGTGAACAAGCACTGCTAAAATCATTATACCGCACTAGACATGGCGACATAAAGTAGTGGAAGACGTCGCTACATTAAATTGCTACTTTATTTGCTCGCGTACACGTAGCGTAATCTTTATGATGATGATTTAATCTCTAGCAAAATATCTTGGCACTTGTTACTGAATAGCTTGTCGTACCACTCCAGTCCATGGGCCTATCATTCGCTAATTGTGCGAAGATATTTCATTTCAGCAATTAAGGAACAAGTGGCAGTTTAAGTCATTCCATATTCAAGCGGTTCCTCCTTTTCTGCAGTAACGCTAATCACAAGGATGTCACAGGCTAGATTGACCGTATATGCATATGCTGACAATCATTTTCTCTAACTATAGTAGAGTAAAAGAGATGGTTGCAGCCGCAATGTTGCCTATATTTACACATACGTACCAACAGCCTGTGGCTAAATGACATCTTTTCAGAATTTCTATACTGTTCGCTGCCTTCCCATAAAATTAATTATTGTTGTTGCTGTCCGGTTTTTTACAATGCTCTGCAATCATATTTGTTGGCACAAGAAGAAGCTTTCTGCAACAATACCCGCCCCTTGGAAAGTCCCTTTTCGCTCGTTATAAGGAAGAAGTGCACGACGTTAATCGTATTTATGTCCAGAAAACTTTGTAAAAAACTGCCTCGCAAAATTTGAGAGATTATCAAAAATCAGCGCATTCACTCGTCATGGCTCGTAATCTAGCGTGCATGTAAACGAACTGGATGGCAACTTCACCTGCTCCGGAAATCCTTCACTTCCTGGCTCATCATTCGAACACTTTCATTGGTCTACCTTATCTATGCCACCCGTCGACTTTGTATCATGGCACAAGGGGCTATCCCACCCACACTCGAGTACCGCAAGTGGACACGACGGATCCTATCCTATCTTTCTTAAGCAATGTGCATGTTCCTTATCCCAATCTCCGTTTGAATTGTATTGCACGTGCATAGAGCAAAGTAAGAGCACGGATTGATGGAGAGCAGATAACATATCGCTAGTACTGAAAAAGGGAGGGATAAATATGGACCTATTGCAAACAGTTCGATGATTTTGAAAGGGTTTGATAAAGTTATTCTTAATAGAATGTAGCTACAATTCCGTTTAGACCATGAACAAACGTTGATTTGTAAAACCTGATGTCTGCATTTAAGTATTAGCGTTTCCATTGTATTTAGCATTTCCTTTTCCGACTACACAGCAACGCTTTCTGTTCTGCTAACCGTGCCTGCCAGGTGCGAAATTTACACAGTTATAGTACTTAACGTTTCTTTATGTTCTTACCAGAGCATAATTTTACTAAAAACAGCTCACCTTATTTGTTGGCAAAAATCTGGCGCATCACCAATAATTTTGTTTTACTTGAAGATATTGTTCTGTTACTGTTGGTGTTTTCCAAATACGTTGGTTTCAGAACACATTTTGCTTAAGTTTGCTAACAGCGAAATCATCAACGTAGGTCAAGCAGCTTTAGCCTAAACAAAAATGCTGCAAATGTTTAGGTGAAAACATATGTTGTTCAAAGTCTTTCTGTTTAAACTTGAAAGCACTCAACTGCAGACATTATGTTTACCGTTCATAAAGCAACGCTGCATAAGAAACTCGTCAGTAAATTGCATTAGAACCAAACTGGGCCATGATTGATCTGATCACTCTTTGTAAATATTATATTCATCAATGTTAAGGGACAACCGTTTTATTTTTCTTGACTATGATCATCTAACTTATAATTATAATTGCGTTCCAACACTACATATATATTTGCACCTTAAACTTACATCCCATCTTTAATATTTTCAGGTCAATCCTATAAACATCACATATTAATTGAGAAGTCACAAAAACAATTATTTGGCTGCAGCGACATTCCAAAGATAAATGTATTGCACTCATGAGTGCCCTTGTTAATTCCTACAAATAAATACTTTGAGAATGCTTGCGGATATCACACCTCACTGCATAGTGCACTAACCTTGTTGTCCAGTCAAAAATAAACAGCACTTTGTACCCGCACAAAAGCTTTACGGAGGGTCAATCACTTCTTACTTAGCCAGATATCTGTTTGAATTGAAAAACCTCAGTTAAGAACAAACCATTAGATTTTGACAGTTAGCTTGTTTTATGTAGCAACTTTATAAATTTTCCTGCCGTTTCACTGCTACTTCTACATTACGCTTTTTTATTTTAGTTCTGTCGGAGTATATACTTAAAATCGATCCTTCTTGTGTGCATGACAGGGCATTCTTGAGTCAAATGCGTAAACCTACACTGTTTTGTAATATTCCTCCAATGCCTAATTGGCAACGTTTCAGTGCATTTCTATGTTAGGTGAACATGCTGAATCAGTGCGTAGGCTTGACATCAATAGAATTCTCATAGAAACGTTCAAACTGGATAATTCCATATTGGAGCATTTGAATGGACTGTTAGAAAAAGCAGAGACAAACTCACAACTAAAAATGTGGCGTCATCAGGCAGATAAATACCGTACATATATTGAACTGACATACCAAACGCGCAGGCGAAATAAGCGGACAGACGTTTGCAAGCAATCCTTCCGTATATTTGCCTGGTATCCAGTAAAACGTGCTATAAATTCCTCCACTTTGGAGGCCGTTTGTTTATAAAAATACCTCACCTTTAATCTTTTTGGAGTCTTTTATACATGTGTGTTTTACAGTACATAAACCAAATACTCAGTCTTGACAATCAGTCACGCAGAAATTTTAGCGTAATTGATACAAATCTCATCAAACCCAACAATCTACTCGGCTCTGGTAATAACAAATCTAGCTACATAGTTAGATGCATGCAAGCAAATCTTTCAAAATGATGCATATCTATATTTGTCAACTTTTCATTTACCTGGAACATAAATTCGGATGAACATTTACCGATGAATAAGTACGGTCAAACCGGTTTTTCTGACATCTGTATTATCTCATTAAACTGCGTTCGGTTTGACTTCAAAACTAGTCGACCTCTCGAAATACACTGCCGAAAGTGCTTGTAAGCGGCAAATGTTACACTTATTAAATGTTATGAAGCAGCCAATACTATGTCAAAAATAGATTCACAACACTTGGGAATCTTTGCTGACGCAAGTGATGCACGCGAGAACCGACGTTTGCTGCCGTCTGCTGAGGTTTTCCACAAGAAGGTACCTGCCAAATTTTTCTGCAACAATCAACCTTTTTTATTTGTGTGTGAAATATGTCGGAACAGTGCCAACGTAGGGATGCATAATATGATCCACCAATTGTTGCTCCATTTCAGGAATTCATTCGAACATTTGACCTTGATAAGGACGGTCAAATATCACTTGCAGAGTACATGAAAGTTCTGAATATCCTGCCAGCCAAGGAAAAGGAGTGAGTAATTTGGAATGCTGCATTCCGCTTCCAAGTTCTTTGCCCATTTGGCTTTGTGTTGAAGATATGCTTGACGATCTGTCTTCGTCTCTGCTTATTGTTTTAAGATCCAATAAAACATTTAAATATTAACTATCCAAAATACCGTTAGATTCTCAGAGGGATTATGCAAGAATAAGACGATGAAGCAAGGTTCAAATACCCATTTAGTTGGCTGGCTGCTTGGCAATCGTTGATACTTCCATCCTTCTTCATTTGTTCAGTTAGACTGTTGTAGAAGTTTGAGTTCATTCTATTGCATATTTACCGAATTCCTTTCCTGACATATACGACAGGTAAACGGAAGTAGTATTCATCATCGTGTTAAAATGTTGGAATTTAACTAACGTTAATATTCGTGCACCGACATAGGTTAAGATTATTGAACCAAAAATGTCTGACAATATTACGGTTGTTGCAACTCTGATGGCTTTTTCAGGTCAACCCAACTGAAATAAAATGGTCTATATGAAGCCGAATTAATAAGGTTGGACGTTTTAACTTGGCAGTGTTAATGTACGGAGGCAACAAATTGACATGAAATTGCACTCAAAGCGAAAAATTGAAGCTAAGATACATGCATATCACTCAAGTAATTTTTCGCATCTGGTGCTGATAAGTTAATTGGTCCACTAATAACTGGATAAATATGATAAGATAGAGTTACGTTAACGTGTTGTGCAAGAAAACAAATCCCTAAATTTGGTGCGTGCAGCCGATGAGGAGATATCTTAGATAAATCTGCGTGAAGGGGGGAAATTATCGTTTGAAATCTTTGCTGAAACAATCACATACACCCAATTACTTAATAGCGATGAAATCAATCACAGACCCACAGGGCAACCCACTGCATCTGGAAATGCGCTTATTCGAAAGCACAATAATTGTGAAGTCATTTTGTAAATGACCAGAAAAAATCATAGGTGAGCAACATAGTCAATAAGGAAAAATATGGTTTGTCAGGATTTTATAAACTAAATGGCCGTGTACCGAACGCATTTTGAGTCTCAAATAAAAGCAGTAGCGTTAACTTCTAAACAGGCCATCCGTTTCACCCTCGGTTGAGAAACCAAGCAGATATGACAACCACAAGCGCAATTTTAGATTATGTCTTTAACCTAAGCCGTTCTGTGTTTGAGAAGATTGCAGGCTTTATATATTACCTCCCACAACAAAACGTACACCATGAATAATGGTCGAGGATATGCAACTCAAAATATTTCTTGGAAAGTTTCAGTGATTGCGATAGTCTTACGTCGTCACTCCAAGAGACACAATAACTCGAGTAAAGACGGGTAAGTTTTCCCAATTAAATCAGTTATCTCTGTTTGCTAATCAACCAGGATCTCTCTACAACTGATAATCTACCACTGTTCCACAAGGAGGGTATGCCTAAGGGAATTTCGTCTTAGATGAACCAAAGGTTGGACCAACGTAGAGTGGACAGGATTTTTGAAAAGGAATGACTAGATGACTATGCACCCGCTAAGAAACTGAGTAAAAATAAAAATAAAATTTAATGGGAGATAAAACATCTTTGCCCCTCATCGAAAGTCGTCATTCTATGGTGCGCAGAAATTTTCAACAGCCATTTCCTGAATTCGAGCAACACGCTTTGATAACATTTACCAGCATGTCGCTCTACAGACTTCACTAGGCACAGGCCATACCAACATGGAAATCGCTGTTATCTTGTTCGAGGAAAATTGAGAACATCGCTCACACTTTAAGTAGAAATTCATAGATACTCATGTCAAAATAACTAAGCATGACGGGATATTGTGAGGTAATTTCCCACCTTATTGAATAACTGCCACGTATTTATGTTTTTAATCTGTTTACTAGCTTAAATCAGAGTAAATAATGCGAAGAGCAAACGAACTGCCAGCAACTCCGGTATACACGGACGAATTTTGTTTGGGCAAAAAGATACCCAAAGTAACACAGGCGCCGTGGCTTTTACTTTCTATAAAATAGTTCCATACAACTTTAGCTTGCTTTGCAGAACCGCAAGCTATCTTCTTATCTTGTCATCATTTGTATGCCAGAAGTCTACGATGGAGCAACAGAGAAAAAAATGAGCAAAATTATCCACTCAATAGTTTGAGCCAAAAGATATGTTTGCTGACATACATAATTGTATAGTGTTCAGCCACCATAACATGGGTATACAAGCCAATATTGATTCGCGTATTTCCATTTTTGAAAATGCTTTTGAACATAGTGTGTACCAGTGTTGTTGCCTCCAATGGACTTGACTTATGCTGATGAATGCATTATTATATCGCGAACTAAGCTTTTTATTAAACGCTTATACCCTTGGTATAGAAGCCATGCTTTCGGAAGTAAATACATATATTGCATGGCCCCATCGGATAAGACGCGCTATAATGCAGTAAACTTGCAAATAATGATGGCCCAATTCTGTCCCCCGTAGTAATAAAGCATAAACTGCTGACTGCTGGTGCGAGCCACTTTCGGTCATGAGTTAAAAACTTGTTGGATCCCGTGGATGCACATTGCTTATGAGGCCCAGAAGGTCGAAAATGTGGTCTGGAAAATTTCCGGGGATGTGGACTACTATCTGGTCTGGAAGCTGGTGTGACGGAGCTCATATATTTACAAAACTAATTATTACTCCGTTTTAGATACGTCCCTATTGAACAAACTGACAAGGATATCTTTGAAAGAGCAATTCAGTCTTGATCGAGATATTGCGTGGCAGTTCATTTCAGATTTCTAGTGGCTTCACTTATTTCGTCAAACAAAAATGTTTATTTTATAACATGCCATAGTCACAGGACTGTTGGATCCATTTATAGATTTCGTAGCTGCGCAGCCAGGTGATGTTTGTTTTATTACATAATAAGATAGTTTTTATAAAATAGGCTCAATATTTAGCAAACGCAAAGACAACCCGTGTCCTGCTGTGGCAAGCTTTTACTTATGACAATCACTGGCCATACTCTGGTATCATTAATGGAAAATAAAGATTTGTGGCGAATACGGGAGAATGGTGTTGTTTAGTGCATTTCCGAAATAGGTGCAGTCCCAAATTGTTACATTACTGCATACCACTTTTACCGGATCCAAAAATATGCGTCAAATTCGCCGATGCAGGCGCTGCTGGCGCTGCTGGAGAAATAGATCAGCAACTAAGCAGAAAACAGCTTTTCAATTTTGTTGCGTTGAATTTTGAGGAAAAGTATTCGGTGCTGCAGACAATAACATGCTATTAAAGTGAAAGCAGATGACTACGATCTCGGGTCTACTTTCCACCAGGATTTTTCTAAGTACAATATTCAATTTATCATTTATTCCTAAGAAGTGACTTTCTGGTCTATCCAGAGAATACACCAAAGCCCCAGTGCGAATCACACACAATAGCTTTAACCGCATCCAGTGAAAAAGTAAAGTCAGACATCCTTATGTTTCAAAAATCCATAGTTATCAAAAATCGTACCAATGATTTCTTGATTTCATATAAGGTAGATCAATAATTAGCGAGAGTTCTCTGGATAATTCGCTGTAGAGCAAGTATCAAATTTGTGACGCGCAGTTTATTTAAAGTATATTAACATTTTTTATCCAACTGTACTTGCAGCATATGTACAGCTTTCATTTTATACGACTTGATGCATTGCTGTTGCCTGTGGGACCTGATAATTTGGATGGTTGGGTGAAAGATTTCGAAACGTAAAAGCCTAATGTATCCCATGTGTGTTGGTAGGTTGTTCCTTGTCATCTGCACCTTAGGATTATCAGTTGGCGTCCGCAACAATTCAGTTTATTATGTGAATTGATTTCCATGTTCATTTAATGACGCATGAATTTCTCGACAAAGTTCATGATGTTCAAACTTGTCATCACACACGTAATACTACAGTTATGCTGTTGGAAATGTTCAGAGTTGTGCAGTGAGGCTAATTTCGTAGTCACACCATAGTATTATATTTGTTAAAGTTTCCATTCACACTGCCGGTGAAGAGTGGATCATTTGTAGAACAGAGTGATTTGGTCACATGCGCTGGTGATTAGCAAGCTAAACCTCTGAAAGATTTCCGTCGAAGTTATGTCAAGAAACTTTAGGCAGGTAATCGCTGATTAATTCCTCAGTCACTTTAGATAAGATGCCGGTTGAATGCATGAGTGGATCCAGCATACATTCTTGCATATTCAGCAAATCCTTAACGTCGCGAAGATTAAGTAAATGAGTCCGAATCCCTATCGATCTCAACCAGATCATGAATCCTTCATTGGTCAGTACCAATACAGATGCCGATATTTTTCATACCGCCCTAAAGGTAGATGATAGAATGACATGACTGTACAGTAGAACTTGCGTTAAACAATTTTAGTCCCGGCTGGAGCTGTCTATTAGAGGGACAATGAAGTTAACCGAAATGAAAAATTGATCAAAATTAGTCCCGTGAGATTAACCTGATGGTAAGCATTGTGGTGTTACTAAAAATTATCACTAGTCAGATGTTATGTGTTATTTGCAGTTTGTAGCATAGTGAGTAGCTGACAAGTGTCCCTTAGTCATCTAGGAAATGTAATCCTTCAACAGTATGAAAGTACTTCATATACTCACTAGAAAGGCCACTTCTAAAATATTGACTTTGCGTCATGATTTGGGCTTTGGTTTTGTCAGTTATGCAGATGTGGTTAATGATTTTGGAAACCCGACTAATCCAAATCCGATCCGATTACTGAGCACGACTTGAGTGGTAGATAAAACATTCTACGTAAGGACCAATTTTGAATCGGCAGCTTATCAATTTCACGTTGTAAAACTAGCGACTAATGTTGCGCAATTGACAATGACTTCGTAAATAGACCTGGGCTTTACAGATAGTCACCAAGTCTTAGGATAATGCATGCACATACATCCATCGAATAAGCTTTTCCTTTCTTGTGGGATGTCAATTTGAACAGCAGATGCAAACGGCGTTTTGTTGCTTATGATCCTGTGATGTATTTTTCAGACTGGCAATGTGGAGGAATGTTTTTAACGAAGTTGATACAGATAAATCGGGTAAAATATCTGCTTCCGAACTCTGTAATTTGATGCAAGAAATGGGCTATGAATGCGCGGCCTCAGACATAAGAGCCTGGATGACAACCCATGATGCGGACAAAGATGGCGAAATGAATTTGGAGGAGTTCCTTCAGTTCATCCAACGCTGAGACGTTGACGTTTGAACACTCTTCGCTGAAGCGTGCTCAGTTGCAAAAGAATTTCTAAAAATGTATTCATTTGCCTATCAGGCTGCATGTCATGTTTAAGTGAATTTGACTACTTATTCCAACCCCCTCCATGATATGTCAAATTATTCAGGGAAGACGAATGTGATTTATATGTCAATTGTTTCCTCTCATGTTGCCTCGTCATTCAGTTTGCAGCTGAATCAACTATCACTTTCACCCTGCTTCTAATTTGACGATAACTCGGCATATTTTCATATGGCAAAATTAAACAGGAGATCAGAAAATGGATACTTCTTGGGAGAAGCAAAATAAAAGGGAATCAAGTGGCTTGCATTTCTTTGGACGATTACCTTTGGGATGTTCCATTTAGAGTAAATTTGTGGCGGGTTTTGCAGTCGATCACAGAGCACGTTAGCAAAGCAATATTTATTGCTGTGGCTGAATTTCGCATGAGCTTTTAGCTACTGTAACTTGATCTTCTAAGACTGGGTTAAAGCGTACTACCTAAGAGAGGTTAACCTAGCCCAGTGTATATACAAGTTAAGTGTAAAATGTTTCAGTGAAACACCGTTCGTACAACTACATTGAGATAGGTTAACCATAAACCAAACTTCTTATGCTAAATACAGTTATATCTTAACTAAAATATGTGCACTGTAATTAGCAAACCCCTGAAGATTTTGTATAAACCAGCTTTCGTAGCAGAAATAGCCGGTGCAGAAGCAACCGTGATCGTAAAGTCAACTTTCACAAAACTGCGAAATATTACATGTGAGTTTTATTCTTAATGCCTTTAGGGCTCAATCGATGGGTTTAGGGCCAATTATTACCTTACAGACATTCCACTTAATGGTTTGAAAACATACGGGATTTCCATGTTATATAGGTAAAGTTTCACAAGAGTGTTACAACGAAGTGACGAGTTGTAATGAAATGCCTCAATGAATGCACTTATTAGTAAAGAAAGCGGAAACAAATGTATTCCGTGAAACCACAATTATGCTTAATAGTTTCGCTGGAGATCGGCTGGCTCAACTACAAAATACATATTTCTTAAAAAGCCACGATTCATCCAGGGCAAAACTTATGATAATCACGCTTAAAAGTAGTTGCCATAACGAGGTAAAAATGGACCATTTATGAGATATATTTTCGGCAGTTCACATCAGGCAAATACAACTACATGACTGGAAAATGCATTAGTATACTGGTGCAAGCAACAAGGAGGACGGATGGGACGATTTGAACAGTTTTGGCATGTTCATTTGATGCTAGAATCGATTTCATCAGGTGACATCGTGATCGGGCTAACCGACAGCTAAATAACTTGTGTAAACAGAGAAGGCAAAATTACTAACCAAATAAAATTAGTTAATTATGCAAATAAATAGCACCCGGTTAAGCGAGATACTCCGGGGAACCTTATCATCAGGGCCATGGCAAAGTCAAGGGTTGCACAAGCACCCTATGCTTGCATAGCTCTGGTTGTGTTAGTCTGATCGCGATGGCTTCAGTTGTCTACAGGAGGCGTTTCCTTAGCCCTTTCGGGTATCGCCTCGGTACGGCGTAATAGACTTTGAAAGTATCTTTTGTCAAAATCTGATGCCCACTAAGAATCAGATGTTCCATAATTGAGCTGTTGATACTTCTGTGCATGCCTCTCCGCAATGACCCTGGACAATATTCAGCCATTCGTACTGACAGACGCCTGGTCGTATGCCCGAGGTACTTTGCACCACAGGTGCAAGTAAACTGGTAAACAATGTATGATTCGGACGACACTGGCAGTCTGTCTTTAAGGCGTTGAGCTATGAAGGGAGCGGTCTGTGCAACTACGTGCGGTTGGGCGGCCGGGTAGGTTCTTGCTACGGCATTAGAAAGTCTTCTGTTCAGGAGATCGAAGGCGATATCTCCCTTAAAAGGAACAGTGAGAAACACATCCTTCTTCGGAACCGTTGCTACGGGCTTATCCCGCTCACGGGTCATGGCATGCTTTTTGATGAAAGGCTCTGGGTATCCATTCGCAAGAAGTGTTTTCACAACTCGGTCCTTCTCATTTTCGAGAGTTTCGGGACTACAAATTTTGGTGGCCCGGTAATTCAAGCAACGTACTAAGTTGCGTTTGTACCTCAGAGGGACAAAGCACGAAAAGTGTGCGTACTGTCCTACCCATGTAGCTTTGCGGAAGACTCTACGCTCAAGTGATCTGTCCTCACGCCTCCTCAACAAAACGTCCAGAAAAGCCAGCTTACCTTCATTCTCCATTTCACTAGTGTATTTTATTAAGGGGTGTGCACTGTTAAACTGGTCGAGCAAATTGTTGACATCAATGTGCGAATCACAGATGATGAAAGTGTCATCCATATACCTCCAATAAGAATCAAATGAGGCAATAAGCATTTGGATGGGACCACGCTCAAGCTTAGCGAGAAAGATGTCGGCAAGAAGAGGTCCAAGGGGGGACCCCATGGCCACGCCATCGATTTGCCTGTAATAGATTCCGTCAAACAGGAACTGTCTATTAAAGGTACACCGCAAGATTAACTCCTTGAGCTTGGGCACCGGAATGCCAACGTCTAGGTTCCTTTCCGTTATATACTCACAGATGAAATTAACAGTTTCCAACAGTGGGACATTTGTGAAAAGGGATTCTACATCAAAGGAAAACATTTGTTTACCATTTAATTTCAGCTCTTTAACTTTATCAACGAATTCGAACGAATCCTTCAAAGAATGAGTAGAGTTCCTTACGTACGGATTCCAATAACTGCACAATCCATTTCGCGACTAAGTGGTGTGCCGACGCGGACATGTCAATTATTGGACGTAGAGGGACTTGTGGCTTGTGTACTTTAGGCAAGCCGTAGAGCCGAGGAGGTTGGGAGCCAACCGGAGTTAACTGCTGAAATTGAACATCGGTTATCAATTTCATCTGTTTTAATTCTTTCAAGATCTTTGTACTCTTTGCTTCGTCGTCTGCCGTCTTGTCCTTCTGAATTGTGTCATGCAAGAATTTGCTCGTGTCTTGCAAGATAACTTTTAATTTCGAAATGTAATCTGATTTGTCCATTAGCACCCATCCCGATCCTTTATCAGGTCTAGAAAGAATAAGATCATGATTTGACCTCAATTCTTTGATTGCTTCTAGATGCTTTTTGGACAGAATGTTTGAAGATCTCTTCTCGCAGTGTAGATACTGTTGACAAAGGTGCACTAAGGTGGTTTTGAAAGTGTCTCTGGCCAGAGGAGAAGCAGGTGTTAATTCAGTTAGTTGGTGCATTAATTCTTCAAACTGCGTTTCTAAATGCACTTGTCCACTAACCGGTTGTGTAAAACAGAATTTTGGTCCGAGGGATAATGCCTCAAGCTGAAGTTGATTCAACGGTTTATTGGACAGATTGTGCACACAGTTTTCTGGATTGGGTGGGAATTTCGGTTCAGGTTGCGTTGGATGCAAGCTTTTAAGGAGCTTTTCGTACTTCTTTTCTTCTACCTTTGTGCATAAGCTTTGCACGTAATGTTTAAAAGATTCACGCTGTGTAGCATCAAGATCTTCGACGCTTGATTGGTAAAGTGCACAAAACCGTTCCAACTCAGGTAGTCGGGATTGAACAGCATCTAACAGATCGTGAGCATGAAGTTTAAGGGACCTTTCGTCGGGCTCACATGACATCGTCTCAGCGACTTCCAATAAGCCTTCGGATACTGATTACCGGACTACCAAAATTTGTAGTCCCGAAACTCTCGAAAATGAGAAGGACCGAATTTTGAAAACACTTCTTTCGAATGGATACCCAGAGCCTTTCATCAAAAAGCATGCCATGACCCGTGAGCGGGATAAACCCGTAGCAACGGTTCCGAAGAAGGATGTGTTTCTCACAGTTCCTTTTAAGGGAGATATCGCCTTCGATCTCCTGAACAGAAGACTTTCTAATGCCGTAGCAAGAACCTACTCGGCCGCCCAACCGCACGTAATTGCAGAGACCGCTCCCTTCATAGCTCAACGTCTTAAAGACAGGCTGCCAGTGTCGTTCGAATCGTACATTGTTTACCAGTTTGCTTGCACCTGTGGTGCAAAGTACCTCGGGCATACGACCAGGCGTCTGTCGGTACGAATGGCTGAACATTGTCCAGGGTCATTGCGGAGAGGCATGCGCAGAAGTATCAACAGCTCAATTATGGAACATCTGATTCTTAGTGGGCATCAGATTTTGAATAAAGATGCTTTCAAAGTCTATTACGCCGTACCGAGGCGATACGCGAAAGGGCTAAGGAAACACCTGCAGACAGCTGAAGCCATCGCGATCAGGCTAACACAACCAGAGCTATGCAAGCATAGGGTGCTTGTGCAACCCTTGACTTTGCCATGGCCCAGATGATAAGGTTCCCCGGGGTATCTCGCTTAACCGGGTGCTATTTATTTGCGTAATTAACTAATTTTATTTGGTTAGTAATTTTGCCTTCTCTGTTTACACAAGTTATTTAGCTGTCGGTTAGCCCGATCACGATGTCACCTGATTAAATCGATTCGAGCATCAAATGAACATGCCAAAACTGTTCAAATCGTCCCATCCATCTTCTCTGTTGCTTGCACCAGTTTACTAGTGCATTTTCCAGTCCTGTAGTTGTATTTGCCTGATGTGAACTGCCGAAAAGAGATCTCTTTGCAACACTGTGTTTTATTCTTCCATGGACATTATTTATGGACCGTTTATGTATTTAACCATGGAAGAATAAGCGTAATCATTATTATTTTTTTGGACAATAATGTTCCGGGAGTAATATAATATATAGATTGGTCTTAATGGATGGTATGTAACGTGAAACTCGTAAATGTCCTTAACCCAGTCAGACTGAAGGTGAGATGATAGAGTAAGGCAGTCATCTACTCCTTGTTTCGTGTCACATTACGATAGTCTACTTTTAAATGGCGGGAAGCAGAGGACCTACAGATAATTGTTTGTCACTGCGAATAAAATTGGTTATATATAATTTTAATAGTAGGCCACACCCACATTGCACAAAGAATGGTGCATTCTGCGGAGATAATTTTTCGTCTTTCAAACAGTCTTATACTGGGTTTTGCTTCCCAGAGATTTCTTTGAAAACTGAGGTATGTATTCAAGGGTTGTATACGTTAGGAAAGAGCACATATGGATCGCAACGCAGCCTGCCGCTTTTTGCATCTGCTTGCACCGATTTTTCAACTATCTACCCATTTATTTAGGAAATACAGTTCCCGCTGTTTAGGCATATTTGTTTCCGACACTTTATATGTACA